ATTTTAGTTAGGAGGTTACGTCGGTCCTTTTATACAATTCCAATAGGCTTGGGAAATTATATAAAACCTTGGGTCATTGTTAGACTGTTAGTCGTTGCGAAACCATTAATGAATATCGTCGGTCGTACCTCGTTATAGAGGTATGTCGATGCTTGAGGCCTCTTAGGAAACTTGCATTAGGACTGACCGGTCGCTCGCATCGTCAGTCGATCATATCTCCAGCTTATAATAGAGTTTAAGGAGCGACCGACTAGTGAATTTATTTCACCCAACAATTATAAGGGGGGGAACTCAGCCTATAGGTCGTGATATTAGCAAATGATTCTAATCTTATTAAAACACATATTTTCTGATGGTCGGGGAGCAGACAGAGCCATTGGCCGTGACATTGTGGATCCACACTACAAGGAATGTCTTTACACTGGTATTGGCGTCTCTTGTGTCGAAGGAGAAGTCATGCCTGGCCAGTGGGAGTTGCAAGTCTACATGTGGAGAGTATTTGTGTTGGTGATCCAGTATGTGTTGCTTGATGCCTTCTCGAGGTAGATCTACTAAACCAGTTAATTTGTGAATACAAGCTTCAAATTTGCTAATAACATGTCTTTTTTTACAAAGACTTACTGAGATCTCTGGTGTGATGGTCATTATTGACCCAAAACCAGTTCCAATCAGTTCCTTACTACTCTTTACTACTTCATATGCACTATAACTAAAGTGTTTTTGTAACATAGATGAATGGGTAGGGTGACGAGTTGGAACAGAGTACCGAGCTCGATCGAGTTTAGGGTCGAGTTGAAGTAAAAAGCAATAAAGGCAGCGACTTTAACAAGCTAGAACGAAATTAGGGTCTAAGACAGGGTTTAACAATCAGAGGAAGCTATACTTAATCGATCTTGCTCTCAAACAACTTGTATCAAGGTATCTCTTGATATTGAGCTTCTCAATGCCTAGCTAACCCTTTCCCAAGGTGAAAGCTATCAACCAAGACTTGATCTCAGAAACAGGGGGTTAGCCAGTGAGAATCAAGCCTTGGAGGCCATAGGATCATTGCTCAAACTAATCCATCCAACCCCTTAACTCCATTTCGAGAGCAAGAGTATTGGAGCTCTTAGTGGACCTTTTCCAACGATTTCCATCACTTCCATGTGGAGAATCGCTATGGACATACAAGCCAGGGGTAGTGGTCATGTAGCCTTAAGGTTTGTCCAAAAGAGAGAGATTTCTAGATTAAGAACATAAGCAAGAAGGATTAAGCATAAAATCCCCTAATCTATCCCATCTCAAACCCTAATGGGTAACTACTCACTACACATGAATGTAAACACAAGCAAATGCAATAAAAGAGACATCAAATGAAAGAGGAGATAAAGATAAACAACTTTTATTGAAATAAGCAAGTGCAAATACAAAAGAGATTATCCAGGATCTAGGATTCAAGAAGCAAGAGCTTCAAGAACACAAAGATGGGATTAGAGCTCTCAAAAGTAAAAGACAATAATTAAAAGAACTAAAACAAAAGTAATCTAAAGCTTGGTGGTTTTTTCGTGGCTTTTAGCCTTTAAATACAAGAGGATTTAGGTTTAGGGTCAAAGGAAAGTCAAGGGGGAAGCAACATTTTTCGGGTTTGACTGTTGACTTCTCAGCTCGATCGAGTTGAAGCTTGGCCGGTCGAGTTGAGGAACTCGACCGGTTGGTCGAGTAGCGAGTGGTCGAGCTGGTCTTCAAGATGGCTTCCTCCTTCTTCCTTTGCGTATCCAGTTGAGCTGCGTCCATGCCCAAGTCCTTCCTGCTCCTCACGTCCCATATGCTCCAAATGCTCCAAAAGACCTATTTCAAAGGACCAAACATGCATATGTATGCAAATGCAACCTAAAACTACTATGAATGCATAAGAAGAGAAAAGGAACAAGATATGATGCTAATGGATGCTAAAACTATGCAAAAGATGCATAAAAGATGTACTAAAACTATGCAAAATGCAAATACATCAAAGTGTCAAAAAGAAAAGAAAAGTTCCCTAAGTGTTTAGAAAATCCCAAACCGCTAGATGTTACCTCAAAATCCCAAGGTTTGATTAATGGGGTTAGCCAGTGAGAATCAAACCTTGGAGGCTATAGGATCATTGCCCAAACTAATCCATCCAACCCCTTAGACCTCTATGTCTAGAGCAAGAGATATTGGAGCTCTTAGTGGATCTTTTCCAGCGAATGCCATCACTTTCGTGTGGGGAGTCGCCTAAGGACTTACAAGCCAGGGGTAGTGGTCATGTAGCCTTAAGATCTATCCAAAAGAGAGAGAATCTAGATTAAGACCATAAGCTAGAAGGATTAAGCATATGAAACCTCTAATCTATCCCATCTCAAACCCTAATGGGTAACTACTCACTACACATGAATGTAAACACAAGCAAATGCAATAAAAGAGACATCATAAGAAAGAGGAGATGAAATAAACAACTTTTATTGAAATAAGCAAGTGCAAATACAAAGAGATTATCCAGGATCTAAGATTCAAGAAGCAAGAGCTTCAAGAACACAAAGATGGATTAGATCTCTAAAAAGTAAAAGACAATAAATTAAAAGAAACTAAAACAAAATAATCTAAAGCTTGGTGGTTTTTTCGTGGCTTAGAGCCTTTAAATACAAAGGGATTAGGTTTAGGGTCAAAGGGAAGTCAAGGGGGAAGCAACATTTTTCGGGTTTGACTTTGACTCCCCAGCTCGATCGAGTTGAAGCTTGGCCGGTCGAGTTGAGGAACTCGACCGGTTGGTCGAGTGACGGTCGAGCTGGTCTTCAAGATGGCTTCTCCCTTCTTCCTTTGCGTATCCAGTTGAGCTGCTTCCATGTGCCAAGTCCCTCCATGCTCCTTGTGTCCCATATGCTCCAGAATGCTCCAAAAGACCTATTTCAAAGGACCAAACATGCATATGTATGCAAATGCAACCTAAAACTAACATGAATGCATAAGAAGAGAAAAGGAACAAGATATGATGCAAATGAAAGCTAAAACTATGCAAAAGATGCATAAAAGATGTGCTAAAACTATGTAAAATGCAAGTACATCAATATCCAACTTCATTCAGCGAAACAATGAGACATTCGCAGAGGCTTGGGAGAGGTTCAAAGGCTACACAAGTCAGTGCCCACACCATGGATTCAACAATGAATCCTACTCTCCACTCTTTATAGAGGATGCTTGCCTAGGTATAGGGAGATGCTAGACACAGCTAGCAATGGGAACTTCCTCAACCAGGATGTAGATGATGGCTGGCAACTTGTGGAGAACATAGCTAACTCAAATGGAAGCTATGGAGAAGAGTATGATCGCACCAATCGGAGCTCGACCCACCACTCGATCGAGTCAGACGAAAAGTTGAGAAAAGATGTTAAGGCATTGAATGAGAAGTTGGATAAGCTGATCCTAGCTCAGTCCACAATGAAGAAAGTCAACTTTGTGTCTGCTGAGGAGATGGAACCAGTCCAAGAAGGGGAGGATACACAATTTGCTGAGGTGTGCTACATGAGCAATGGGCAAGGAGGTTACAACAAAGGATACTATAATTACAAGTCCAACCCTGCCATGTCATACCGCAACACTGATGTTGCTAACCCTCAGGACCAAGTATATCCTCAACAACAAGCAGCTCGATCGAGTCAGGTGCCACAACATGGGTATGGTCAAAAGAACAATTACCAAGGACCACAAGGCACTTTCCCTGGACAACAAATGAATATCCCACCAGGCTTCCCCCACCAACCGCCCCAGCCTGCACCTTCACAAGAGAATGAGCTCAAGGCAATGCTAAAGCAACTACTTCAAGGGCAAGCTGATGGGGTAGTGGACACAAGCAAGAAGCTAGCTGAAATAAACTCTAAGATCGAGAACCTCAACACAAGGGTTTACTCTCTGGAGAATCATGCTTCTTCTGTTGCTGCTGCTACAAAGCAAGGACAACTACCTGGTAAAGCTATTCAGAACCCCAAGGAACAGTGCAAGGTCATCTTCACTCAAGAAGGACTTGTTGAAGAAGAGGATCAAGAAAGGGTCATTGAAGATTTTTGTTTACTGCTGAATGATGAAGAGATTGTTGCTGCTGAGGCTCCTGGAGTCCAGATTGATCAACCAGAAGTGCATGCACCTACTGTGGCCATTCACACTTCACCAGTTGAGCTCGCACGACAAGCTCGATCGGCAGCTCGATCGAGTCCAACTCTAGCTCGATCGAGTCCGACCTCTTCTGTCCGACAGCCTGTTTTGCTTGATCCTTATCAACCGGTTGCCGCTTCCTCGTCTCGCCTACTTAGTCAAGGTCACAAGGAAGTGATTCACAAGTTCAGAAGAGATCTCAGTGGGATTGGAATTGAGTTGCCTCCTATGGATAGCATGAGTGAGGCATTTGATCAAATGCAAATGGTCAAGGATGTTCTAGCCAACAGTGATAAAGTTTCAGAGGTCCTACAAGAGTCTACTCATCAGTTCAACCTGCTTACTTCACCCACCTTCCTACCAAAGGTCAAGATCAAGGGAAATTCACTCTCCCTTGCACACTTGGGCATCTTGAGATTGACAATGCCTTAGTGGATTCTGGAGCAAGCATCAATCTGATCTCTCTCTCCATGGCAGAGAAGCTAGGCATTGCTGGAGCCTTGCAGCGCCCTACTACTTCAATCATGTTTGGAGATGCAACTTCTAAGTCTCCTCTTGGAGTGTTCAAGAACTATCACTTGAAAATTGGAGAATGCATCATCCAAACTGATCTCACTGTGATGGAAATGGAAGAAGAGAAGGATTACCTCTGTTATTGGGAACCCCTTTCCTTAGTACAGTTGGCGCTTCAATAGACTTTCACAAGCAAGAAGTGATCCTTCACAAGGTGAATAGTTTGGTGTCATATCGCTTGCAGCCTAGAGGTTCAGACTTTTGTGCCACAATTGACAGTACCACTCTCAGTTCTAAGAGTCATGGAGCTACAAAGGTTGTGAAGGAAAGGGTTGACAAAGAACCAAGAGTTGGGAAGGATAAGGATGAGAGAGGACCAAGGATTGAGAAGCCACGTCTTGAGAGGGCTAGAGTTGAGAAACCACGTTCTGATAGACCACGAGCTGATAGACTTGTTCAAGCCCCTTGTGTGCTTGATGAAGAAAGCCTTCAAGCTTTGTTTGATGAGCCACTAGGAAGGGCTCTAAAAGAAGGGGAGGATGTAGCCTCTAAGGCAAGACCAGGGATAAAAGAAAAGATCCACCAGCTCAGGCCCCTTCATCAAGCCATCTCAGCTCACAATGACTTTGTTCCCCACCAAGTTTGAAAATGGGAAGATTGAGTACAAGATAAGGTACAAGGGGAGATCAAGGCCATTCTCTAGAGCCAAGGCCTTGGTGACTTCAGAACAGTCCAGGGACCCAACCAAGCTAAAGGAGCTTCTGTCTCAAGTCCTCACTATCACCCTTGATGGTGGGACTAGCTCAACCAATGCCTAAGAAGGTAAAGGTCAAGCTATGGGACCTTAAACAAGCTCACTTGGGAGGAAGTCCCATGTTTATCCTTGTACATATTCTATTTATGCAATTTCTATCTATTTTGTGTTTTAACCTTTGAATAAGTTAAGTTTAGGTGTCAAAGGAGCCAGCTCGACCGACAGCTCGATCGAGCTAGAAACCAGGGCAACTCGATCGAGTTCCTCAACTCGACCGAGGTAAGTTTTTGAATTTCAAATTCATAACCGTTTTCTTGGTCAAGGGAGTGGGTCCCACAAGCTGATTTTGGTCCCCCACTACCCTAATTTGATCAGAAAAACCCTAGCTTTTGTCCCCTCTTTATTTCACTTTTAATCTCAACCACACATCTCAAACACTCCCTCTTCCCCATAACTCGATCGAATCCACCTTCTCCACTCTCCCACACTTAAAATTTCTGAAACCATCTCTCTCTCTCTTCACCACAAGAAAAATTTCGAATTCCTCTCTTTCTCTCTTAAGTTTTTGCGATTTCCTCTTGTTCTTCATCTTGTTTCTTTGGGTTCTAGTTACTGTTCTTAATTCATCATTCAAGCAAGGTATGAACCCTAAAACCCTTGATTCTTCCATCTCGATTTCCATTATTGCTTGTTTCTCTTTGATTTTTGATTGCATGTGCCCCTTGTGGGATTGTTCTTGAGTAATTGCTTTATCATTCTCCTGCTCATATTTGTTACCATTGTGAATTTGCCTCACCTCACCTCTGTTTTATCATTAAGAACTTGTTGCATGTGCTTGAAAAATTGAATTTGAGTTTGGTATTGGTTAAGGCTTATGCTTTCACTAGAATTGCTCATTGTTCCATTTACTAGTTGTTCTTGGTTCAATTTGATTGATTAGCATCCTTTCCAGCTCTTAATACTTGAATTAGGTTTGGTTATACTCTGTTTTCACCTAGCTCGATCGAGTTTGTCACTCGAGTTTTTTGACTCGATCGAGCTGAGTGTCGAGTTGACCAAACCGATCATTGCAACTCTAATTCTTTGTAATCTTTGATGCATTTCAGGTACTTTAGTGAAGAAACAGTGACAAGATGACAAACAGTGAGGGAAGTCGCGCTTCACAGAGGAGAATGGTTGAGGGTGAATCAAGCAATGCAAGGGAAAGAAGGCTTAAGATGCAAGCCGATTTGGAGAGGATGACTCAAAGGATGGAAGAGTCTGATGCAGAGGAGTATGTGTACTCTGAGGAAGAATCTGAGAGCGAAAGATTGAGAGGAGAGGAGGACCAAGAAGAGGAATGACCCCATTAGTAGTGAGAGTGAACAAGGGGAGTTTGAGATTGGAGTGAACCTTGTTCAAGAGGAGGGAAATGGTTCTCCAAATGAAGAAGGAAGTGATGAGACTGAGAGTGAAGAGGAAGGAAGAGAGGTGAATCAGTTGGTTGATGAAGTGAGCAAGAGTAACCAAGATGAACCTATGGAGGAGTTGAGCCACAAGAGCAGAAGAGGAGGAGGAAGAACTCCCTATGTACCAAGAGCACTACAATGCCCTTTCTCCATGGACTTCATGGATACCAAGTACCCACATGTTGACACAATGAAGGCCCTTGGAATCTTTGAGGATGTGGAGCTAGTTCTCAAGAACATGCACTTGGCCAAGCTTTTCTCTTATCACATGGAATCCTACAAGGAGCTCACTTGCGAGTTCTTAGCTTCAATGAGGTACCACATGTATGAAGAGGAAGATAGAGCTGATTTGGACCAAGGATTGGGATGGATCACGTTCTTGGCTAAGGGAGAGAAGAGAATGGTGACCTTTAGGCAGCTGGAAATCTTGTTTGGGTTCAACTATGGAGAGGGTACCAAGTGGAACTTCAAGGAAAAGGAACTCCAAAGGGTTTGGGCTACAATCGCTGATGGAGTGTACTCTTCCTCAAGGTCCAAGGCAGCTCAGATCAGGAGCCCAGTCTTGAGGTATGTGCACAAGGCACTTGCCAACACCTTCTTTGCAAGGAAGGCGACCGGGACCATCAACGAGAGGGGGAACTCAAGTTTCTTGACATGGGAATCAAGCCCATTCTCTCACGCACAAGCGATGGCAAGAGGATCAAGGGGAGATAGATCACACAGGGAAACTTGATGCCTTTCCTTGACCATCTCCACCTACAAGATCACAGCCTACAACACTAGACATCAACGAGGGAAGGCGCCTAAGTGTTGGAGGGCTCATCACTCCTATCTTGTGTGCTGCTGGAGTGAACCCAACTGATAGAGAGCCACTGAACCAGGTTGGATGGACATCAAGTTTTGCAAGACCAACCTTCTCATTGAGCACAAGGAGTTGGATGGGAGGTTCCAATTCAAGTTCACACATCCATTGGCTGGACCCTCCAAGTTCTCCTGCCCAACCCAGAGCTCACCACAGTAGTAGGGGTGAGAACATTGACTTCAGACCCCCTGTGTACACATTAGTTGGGCATGAGGATGATTTGCGAGAAGAGGAGCCTGAGCTCGATCGAGCTGAGTCTCGAGCTGAGGATCGAGCTGAAGATCAGGCCAGGAGAGTGCGGATTTGGGTGAGCCTGAGTGCTATTACTTTGAGGAGTATGAGGCTCCAAGGATGAACCCCTCTGTTGTGGCTGCACACAAGAGGATTGGACTTCTCCAAAAGTTCAACAAATGGCAAGGGAAAGCCATTGAGAAGATGCAAAAGTCCATGGACAAGATGGTGAGCAAGATCAAAAGTTTGGAGAAGAAGGTTTCTGGTTCTTCAAGCAAGAAGAAGAAGTCCAAGGCCCCCACATTCCTTAGGAGTAGATCTCTTCTCACCACTCCAAGGAGGCTCCCTGCCCAAGAGCCTCACAGAGCCTCTTCTTTCGAGCCAAGGGAAGGAGAAGACAACACGCAGAGAAGGAGGAAGACTTCCAAGGCCAGACGCTCCAGCTCGACCACCGGACTCGATCGAGTCCAAACAGAGGAAACTCAACTCGATCGAGCTGAGGTCGAGCTGACCTGGAGGAGCCCCAGTTCGAGGATCCGGGATTTGAATACGATCCCAGCCTTACCAGGAGCCTCCCCGGAGTAGATGGAACCCCTATGGACAGTACGAGCTGCAATGCTCCACCAAGGCCAAGGGAGCCACACACATTTGAAGAAGAGGAAGAGGAGAGCAAGCTCGATCGAGTGACAGACAAGTGAGTGGAGTGCTCCTGATGGCCGTCTACCATCTCCAGACCACGACCTAGTCTCCCAGTTCTTTGGGGGACACTGAGGTATCCAAACACCAACCCTTGTATATACCATTTCATATTTTCTTGCATTTGTTCTTGTTTTTTCTTGGTTTTGCCCTCTTGAATCTTTCACTAAATTTTTCTCACACAAGGGACTGTGTGATTTAAGTTTGGGGGAGGGTTCAAGAGATGATTTAACCTTGTTTTCTTTGTTCTTAGTTTTTCATTTATCTTTTGCATAGAAAAAAAAAAAAAATCATAAAATTTTCAAAAAATCCAAAAATATTTTCATCTTTTTGCATTCATATTTGTTAGACTTGTTTAGGATTGCATTTTTCACTTGCATTGTTGATTTGACTTTGAAAACTTGTCCATCTTTTGCGATTTCTTGAGTGCCCTGTTTTTAGATTCTTTTGTGCATTAGGGTGAGATTGATTGAGCAGCAAGAACCATGTTTATCTTGATCATATCACTGCATGCACATCTCATTCAACCATTGCTGTGATTTGATGCATTTCCCTATCTATTTGAACCATAACTTGATCTTTAATTACCAATGCTTGCATTTGATTTCAACTCATGGCTACCACATACATATCTGGACATTCTTTACCATTTTCATATCCCTTTTGCTTGTCCAGATAGCTGATCTCTATCTTTGAGACAGTTACCACACCTTAAACCTAAGCCTTTTCATTTCAAACCCCATATTATCTCTTGTGCGAATGTGAGAACCTTTCTTGGCTTTGCTTAGCATAAGGTGTTGTGTTTAAACCGGCAGGGGCAGTAGTTCTAGTTGTCTAGTTCTCTTGGGATTGTTTTCAGGCTAAGTTTGGGGGTGCCAACTCGAGCTCGATCGAGTTGGGTGTAAAAACCAGAAAAGTGGTAAAAGTTGGGAAAAACCCAAAGGAAAAAGAGTTTGGTTAAGTCCAGGGAGTTGGCAGTGTTTAAAAAGGGTCTAGTAAAGGTTTGGGAAGTTAAAAAAGGAAAGTAAAAAGGGTTCTAAGTAGAATGAAAAGAAGGCAAAGCCTCAAGTGTCCAAAAAGGAAAGAAAAGTTCCCTAAGTGTTTAGAAAATCCCAAACCGCTAGATGTTACCTCAAGAAGCCTCTCCCTAGGAAGTTCTTAAAAGAAAAGTGAGCAAAGCTCCTCAGTTTCAAAGGCGAAATGCCAAAAAGGGTAGTTAGGATTTTGTTCTAAAAAGCTCTAAGTGTTGAACTCGATCGAGTTAGGATTAGGCGGCTCGAGCTGCTGTTCTTGCATCATCTTTGGTTCTAACACTTAGCCTTCTGCCAAAGCAAAGCCACTTTCTTGAGAGATCCCTGTTACTAAACCACCATACAAAAGAGACCCTCTTTGTCTCTTAACCCATAAACCCTTGAAACCAAATGAGTTGATTGATCTTGCATGTTTTTGGTTCACTGTTTTTGCTTAATGAATGTTAAAGGGATTTGCTGATTTGAATGCATTGTTTGAGTGACTGTGAAGTGGGATTGATGTTGATAAGCATGGTTAAATCTTAATGAATATCTCTCACCTTCACCTTGGGAAAAGGGTTGGTTAGGCATTGAGAAGCCCAATATCAAGAGAAGCCTTGATACAAGGAGTTTTAAGAGCTGGATGGATTAAGTATAGTTTCCTCTGATTGCAAAACCCTGTCTTGAACCCTAATTCTCTCTTATCTTGTTAAAGTCGTCACCTTTAGCTTTGTTTGTCTCAACTCGTCCCTAAACTCGATCGAGCTGGTACTTTGTTCTGACTCGACTCGAGTTCTTGGTCGAGCTGTTACTTCTTCGCTTTATTTACTTTTATTGCATTGCATTTCTGTTTCATTTAGGTTGTTAGTGTTACCAAAAACCTTTTACTGCTTGCTTGACTTTCTGGTTGTTTCATATCCTCAAAGAGTGACAAGTTTTCCCATTTTGGATTGATAACCTCTGTACTACATTCACTATGATGGTTAAGAGGAATTGATTGATTGTGATTGCACCATTTCATCTTTATTCACCCCTGTTTGCATTCCACCTCATATCTTATCATCCTTCATTCATATCATATCACATCCACGCAAAATCCTATCATCAGGCAACTTCAGCTCAAGTTGTCTCATTAATTCATCAAACTTGGCCTTGTGTGCTTCCAACAGTGTTTCTTGAACCTTCCTGGAAAGGTGATGTACTTGCATTTTGCATAGTTTTAGTACATCTTTTATGCATCTTTTGCATAGTTTTAGCATCCATTAGCATCATATCTTGTTCATTTTCTCTTCTTATGCATTCATAGTAGTTTAGGTTGCATTTGCATACATATGCATGTTTGGTCCTTTGAAATAGGTCTTTTGGAGCATTCTGGAGCATATGAGACGTGAGGAGCATGGAAGGACTTGGTGCATGGACGCAGCTCAACTGGATACGCAAAGGAAGAAGGAGGAAGCCACCTTGAAGACCAGCTCGACCATCTACTCGGCCAACCGGTCAAGTTGGTGAACTCGATCGAGCTGGGAAGTCAAAGTCAAACCAGAAAAATGTTGCTTCCCCCTTGACTTCCCTTTGACCCTAAACCTAATCCTCTTTGTATTTAAGGGCTCTTAGCCACGAAAAAACAACCAAGCTTTAGATTACTTTTGTTTTAGCTTCTTTTTAATTATTGTCTTTTACTTTTTAGTCTAACGCCTCTATTTCTATACCAGCTCGGAGATCCAAACTGGTGAAATAGAGTTTACATAGTACACATCAGTAGGTAGAGCTCGAGCACTTCGTGCTAACTTGTCTGCCTTCGTGTTTTTCTTCCTTGGTATATGCGTGATGGAAAAAGAGTTGAATCTCCTCTTGCATCTGTCAACCTCCTCAAGTAGTAGTGAAAAAGCCGGCCACTCCTCTGGTTTAGACACCATTTCACCACATCGGAACAGTCCGTCTGGAACACTATTATTAATTTATTATTCCTTAGCATACATTGCATAGCCCAAATGAGAGCCTCCAACTCTGTCTGAAGTGGTGATATTCCCCGCCTCAGATTACACGTTCCCATAAGTTTTTCAAGAGTGTTCGTGTTGAAATAATACAATCCTAGGCCAGCACGACAATCTGTTTCCTTCCAAGCCCCATCCACCTGACATATGTCACCTGACGCCGATAATTCCACATGGGTTTCTGTGTGGGGGTAAACCGTCGTCTCTAGACGTTCCTGGGCCTTTGTCCATGCTATGGACTCCGCTTCTGCTTTAACGACTATCTTATTTGGGTCCCAATCCACATTGGCCATAACTTTGTCATTTCGGGCTTTCCAAATATACCAAATCAACCAAGGGTACATCTTCATCCTTTCATCATTTGGCAAGTGCCAAAACAATTGTGTCATATTGGTAAACAGACCTCCTGTTGGAAAGTGAGCTGGAGCCGTTGGGATCGGAGATAATGCCCAAACTTGTAAAGCCGGCGGACACTCAAATAAAGTGTGATTTACAGTTTCTGGCGCCATCCCACAGCGCATACACTGTGGATCTATCTGATA